GTTATAACATTAGCCCTCTTCCATGGGAAAGATTTAATACAACCAGAAAACATGCATTGAAAATGACAATTGAATGAAATCTTTCTATAAATGTTTAAATGGCTCATCAGCTAGTGGAAATGTACCTGCAGTTTTGGTTGTCTTTCCAGGAACATGTGTTTGATGAAGCAAACATTGGTTGTTACCTATTTTAGCAACATAGAACAGTCACCACACCAATAAAGATATTTTTAATTTGGATAATTTTATTTCTTCCATGATGAGTCGTGGAATGCAGAGCTTTTAATAGCAAAAGCTTTAAGAACTCAGGGAGAACAAGGTGGCTGTTCAGGTTCTCCATGAGTCCACGCTTAATGTTGCACTTAATGACCTCTTAAATAGCAGTTGTTTCTCCAATTTAAGTATGTAGCATTGATAACTGAAAGTTATGGTAATTTGACTTGGATCATGGAGTTCATTCAAATTGCGTATATAAACAATTTCAGTGCTGTCTGGTTTAGAATGAAAATCTGACAAAGTATTTTCTTGGTATTCAATATTTTTGTCCTACTTGGGTTAGCAGTTTTATAAACTAGTCAGTCTGTTTGTTAAAGTTCTGGGAATTCTTACCCCATCCTAATTATGTGACACTAAAGTTTCCAGAAACCTGTATTCAAGAGTGCTTGTCAGGGTCCTTTCTATTCTTTCATGAACCTCCTTAAAGATACCGTACTCTAGGATTTTGGGTGCTTGTAAGGTTTTCAGAAACTGCATTAAGATTAAGCAATTAACTTTGGAAATAACTTTAAATGATTATAATTAAAGACATAATTGACAAGGAAATTTTGTCATTTATATGGCCTACGATAACAATATAATAACCATAAGTATGACTGATAGCATATGCCCAGGCATATTAGAATTTTAGAAATCCCATACAATTTTGGAACATATATTAATAACATTTGCTAAAATATAACTTGAAGATTAAACATCATTTCCTGTTTGGCAGTGCTTCCTGTGTAATTTAACATGTCAGATAATCCTGTTTATCCCTCTTTTGGATGCTTCATGTGCCCTCTGTAGCATCCCAAAGTTAGAGGCTGAAAAAGACTTAATTTTGACCTGAAATTTAATTTTGGGAAGAGCATCAAGTTGTGAAAGGTTTTAAAACCCTTGACTCAGATAGGATTGCAGATCATCATAAAATAATGGTCATTCATTTAGCCAAAGTGATAATTACAAGACTTTTTTTTTCCTTTTATAAGTTTATTTATTTATTTATTTTTATTGCATTTTAGGTTTGGGGTACATGTGAAGAACATGCAAGATAGTTGCATAGGTACACTTGTGGCAGTGTGATTTGCTGGCTTCCTCCCCATCACCTGTATCTGGCATTTCTCCCCATGCTATCTCTCCCCAACTCCCCACCCCCCGCTGTCCCTCCCCTATTCCCCCCAACAGACCTCAGTGTGTAGTACTCCCCTCCCTGTGTCCATGTGTTCTCATTGTTCAACACCCACCTATGAGTGAGAACATGCGCTATTTCAGACTTTTTTTTTAAAGAAAAACACCTGTACTCTTTGATAAAGGAGACTCAGTTATTCAAACAATTTAAAGACCTAAGACTGCATGATAGAAGCTGTCTCTTCTTTCTACTCCTCTTTCCCCCTTTTTTGCAGTTTACTCAAAGCATAAATGAAAATATTTTCCTGTGTCTTATTAATAAATGCTTCAACAAAATTTTTATTCAAAAGAGAAATCAGATTTACTTTTGTATTGGTGTATTATAAATACTAAAGATAATTTTAATGAAATCTCATAAATGAATTTATCAAATCTGTCTTCTTTTAACCAGACAGGATTTCCATAAACCTTTTATTTGGCATTTTTCAGTTTTCTATATTCATCTTGTTTTGTCTATTTTTTTTACTCCTTCAATTTGAAATCTTTTTTTTTTTGAGTCAGTTTTGCTCTTTTGCCCAGGCTAGAGTACAATGGTGCGATCTCAGCTCACTGCATCCTCTGACTTCCAATTCAAGCGATTCTCTGCCTCAGCCTCCCGAGTAGCTGGGATTACAGGTGCCTGCCACCACGCCCAGATAATTTTTGTACTTTTAGTAAAGATGGGGTTTCACCATGTTGGTCAGGCTGGTCTCGAGCTCCTGACCTCGTGATCCACCCGCCTCGGTCTGCCAAAGTGCTGGGATTACAGGCATGAGCTACTGTGCCTGGCCTTAATTTGAAACCTTTAAGAAACTTCAAACCAGATAATATTTTTAATATATATTTTTGTGCTTTTATAACTTTCCTCATCAAAAGCGTATCTTACTTTTGTTTATGCACTAATTATATAAAATTGTTTTTTTTTTTTTTTGAGACGGAGTTTCGCTCTTGTTACCCAGGCTGGAGTGCAATGGAGTGATCTCGGCTCACCGCAACCTCCGCCTCCTGGGTTCAGGCAATTCTCCTGCCTCAGCCTCCTGAGTAGCTGGGATTACAGGCACACACCACCATGCACAGCTATTTTTGTATTTTTAGTAGAGACGGGGTTTCACCATGTTGACCAGGATGATCTCGATCTCTTGACCTCGTGATCCACCCACCTTGGCCTCCCAAAGTGGTGGGATTACAGGCGTGAGCCACCACGCCCGGCCCCAAATTATTATTTTTAACAGATCTAAATATATTGTAGCTTTTCTGTATTACATAAAAATAACATCAAGGTATATAGACTTAAAATCATGTTTAATAATTAATAGTTCAATATTTTAACTTACAAATGACTCACACATTTTATGATTATTACTTAACATAACATGACTTGAAGATTTTAAATTACTGAAAAGAACTTTGAACACATGACACGGGTGCCCTCCTTAATGTCTTCCCTCAGTCATTCTGGGTGCCAAGTAGCCTCATGGTACCCAGGAGCACTATGAAGGTCAAGGCCTGTCTGAGTCCTGACATACCAGGTGTGTGTAGAGGTCAGGACAGAAGACACAGCTATGAAGACTGTGCCTGAAGGGTTCAGCCCTCCCCAGCCAGTAGGCAAGCAGGGAAAGCAGGGAGGAAGGGGTCATATTCGGCTTGATTCTGGCTCGTAGCTGATGGTCTAGGCACTTAGAACATGCCTTTATTTTTATTTTATTTTATTATTATTATTTTCTTGAGACGGAGTTTTGCTCTTGTTACCCAGGCTGCAGTGCAATGGTGTGATCTAGGCTCACCGCAACCTCCGCCTCCTGGGTTCAGGCAATTCTCCTGCCTCAGCCTCCCGAGTAGCTGGGTTTACAGGCACGCGCCACCATGCCCAGCTACTTTTTTGTATTTTTAGTAGAGACTGGGTTTCACCATGTTGACCAGGATGGTCTCGATCTGTTGACCTCGTGATCCACCCGCCTCGGCCTCCCAAAGTGCTGGGATTACAGGCATGAGCCACCACGCCTGGCCCAAGAACATGCCTTTAGACCACGTCATGTCCACCCATGCGACCCCTGACTCCAGAGGCTCCAAACCAAAGACGGCTCACAGTCAAGCAAATACCTTGTTACATTTAACTGATAATTTTGAAGCCATTCCTATTTTAGCAACAATTTTAAAACTCGTTTTATTTACCAAATATTATCACAGACACAGAACACACATGGATATGAGAGATTCTTATTTGCCAGCTTTTAAATAGTTCTTCGTTTCCCCATTTGGTCTACTAATCTTTGAGTTACTTGTTTCATTGCCCTAAGCAATTATTAATCAGGCAACAAATTTAACATTTCTAAAATAACAAGTCTTAGGTAAAACAAAAGAAAAATTATATTCCGTAAGTACATAGCTAAGATTTTAGGCCTAAATATTGTATCATCATTCGCTCAAACTAGGGAAAAATGGTGCTCTCATGAAAGTTTGGTTAAGACAAGATGGCCAGAAAGGCAAGTAAATCGAAGGTATGACTTATGTCAGTTTAAAACAATGGTAAGAGTTTCTAATATACACAGGCAGATATCCTTAAAAATGGAGATTTCCTTAATAGATGTGAATTTCTTTTACACAAGGATTTCAAAATAGCCAGTTAAGTTCCAGAAAGGCATATTTGAGTCCAATAGGTGTTCTTAATTTAGCTGCTATTTCTTAGCTAAAATTACGTAGTTCAGAGTGGAGCTGATTAAGGAATAGGGTGAAGAAAACATTCTCTGTGCAGGGGCTCAGCATGGTTGCATCTGAAAAAGAAGCACGCCTGTTTTGCCTGAGGGCCTGCCTTTTATAAATACTTTATCTAGGATAACTTTCTTTTCACCTTTGGATCAGGATGGTAACTAAGACAAAAGTGAGCACATCCAGTTTTTCTTATTAATTAGTTGCTTAAGCTTTTTATTTGCCTTTTATAAAGTGTCTTTTAATAAAAATATTGAAACATTTTAGAAGCTTCTGCATGTCAATAGGCATCCCCGATGAGACTATTTTGGGAGCCTTCGTTTTCAAATGTACTTCTTTGGTACAGTGTTGTTTATTTGAAGCATTTGACATTTGTTACTTCAGTGAGATTTCGCCATTTCTGTAGGACTTTGCTTCTTCCGGGGCCTAAAACGTACGCACATAGAAGCTGGAAGGTACTCAGTTCTTCAGAAACTAAGGATCTCATTTTTACCTCAAATATTGCCTTTGGCTCTCAGACCTCCTTTGCCAAATGATTTTTCCCTACCTAAATATGCAGGAAAAATTAAACAATGGGGGTAGAACCCAGACATTTTTGCAAATTTCCAAAAGCCAAAGTTTATACCTTCTGCAATATGTCATTTACTACCAGTTTATTTCTGACCCAGTCAGATATAAAAAGCCCCGACCTGGGTATAAGACAGTTGGGCTTTCTATGTCATCAGTATGCTAATTTATCCCAATACATAATATTTCAGTGCTTTTCAGTATAATTTCCCCAAAATGGAATTACTTAGAATTAGAGGATGAGAACAAATTAATGTTTTTTAATGTACACAAATACAAAGTAATCTTTTTTTTTCCCTTAGGAATCTTGGGTAATGTGGAACATGGGAATCAATATCAGATGAAATTGATATATGAACATAATCTTCAGAGAACAGCCTGCAATATGACCTATGGACCATTTGGTGGTGTCAAAGGTGATTTGCTTTTAATCATGAGTATGCTATTTCAAGTGACAGATTTAGAATATTTGGTGATATAAAACAGAGGATTAAGTGGAAGAGTTAAAATAGATGTTTTTGAGCTCTTTGTTTCACCTTCCCTCCCTGGCGAGCCTTTGTCTTTGCGTTTCCCGAGGCTGGCTCTTGGAGGTGTGGCCTCTGTGACTCAGGGTTATAAAACAAGTAGCCAATCTGGTAATGGAGTCAAAGATCAATCAGTCCAGAGGCAGTTTAAAAGAACTCCTCTCATTGGATGAGAACATGAATGGGGAGGGAGTAATTCCGCAATGAAAACTCCAGCCGCTCCTGCCTGCACGGTATCCTTTTTCTGGATCCCCTTACACGAAAGCGTGGGAGCTGTCCTTTCACTTTGCCTAATAAACTGCACTTTCACATACTCTTTGGGTCCACAAGTTTCATTTCAACATTAAAACTCACTGCGCCTACGGGACTCGTTTCCCCATTCAGAACCTAAGTTTGGGCGAGAGCTATGCCACTTCCCTGGTGGTCTAGCAGTTGGGAGTCCTGGTTTTCATCCAGATGGCCCGGGTCCAACTCCTGGTGTGGGAACCAGGGTTCAACTCCTGATGTGAGAACCAAGGAATCTAGCTGCAGTTTTACACCTCCAGTAATAATTGTGTCCACCCAGCCCCAGAGCTTCCAGAATCACCAAGGCTTGGTGCTTGCTTGTGTACACTCTTGCTATTGGTATGAAAGATTTCTTATTTCCAACCCAGCTTCCCTCCCTGCACCACGACAGGTGGTAGAGGAGAGAATGGGAGGCAAAGTGGTGACACCTGTGTCATTGTGTGAGTCTGTGTGTGTAGGTATCTATGTCCTGCGTGCCGCCTGCCGAGCATGTAACTAGGGATTTTGTGATATTTTAGCTCTTCCTGGACACATGTTTTATGAGTTTATTGTTTAGCTATTGCATTATATTTTTCCTTATCAACATGAGAAAATGACTTTATTTTGGAAGTATTCGTTTGTGTGAACTGAGTTTTTGTATTAATACGTACAGATAAAAACAAGGAATAGTTGAATTTGGGGGTACCAAGCAGCATCAGGGATATTCTCGGCGGCGATGTGCAGATAAATGTCTTACATAACTGAAGTGACATAAAGCAAACACTTGGTTAGATTGGAGGATTGCTTCACTTGGGTAACAGGAATGTTTGGATTATTTGAACCATAAGGAAGTATTCGAGTTAGATGAAGAGAGAAAGTTAGATTAGAGGAGAGTCTGTCGCTGAAGTGCTTCCTCAGCTTTTAGAACTGATTTTTACTGTCTTTGAAAAAAATGACCTGATTAGGAAACCTAGGCCTCTCTTGTTTAATTAACTATTTTCAATTTGCTTTCCCCTACCAAATTTCCAAAAAGCAAATTGCTAAATTCCATACATCATAAAAAAACTATGACAGGAGGAAAAACTGCTTTGGCCACATAAAAGTGTTTTCTGATAGCATAGCAATGATCCTTTAGATGACATCAAATCTTATATAGCAGGGGTCCCCAGCCCCTGAGCTATGGATGCGTAGTGGTCCGTGACCTGTTAGGAACCGGGTTGTGTGGCAGGAGGTGAGTGGTGGGCGAGTGAGTGAAGCTTCATCGGTATTTACAGCCACTCCCCGTCACTTGCATTACCCTGAGCTCTGCCTCCTGTCAGATCCGGAGGCGTTATAGGAGCGTGAACCCTATTGTGAACTGTGCATGCAAGGCATCTAGGTTGTGTGCTCTTATGAAAATCTGATGCCTCCCATCACTCTGAGATGGGACCATCTAGTTGCAGGGAAACAAGCTCAAGGCTCCTACTGATCCTACATTGTGTTAGTTGTATAACTATTTCGTTACATATTACCATGTAATAATAATAGAGATAAAGTGCACAATAAATGTAATGTGCTGAGTCATCCCGAGATCATCTCCCTCACTGTCTGTGGAAAAATCATCTCTCACGAAACTGGTTCTCGATGCCAAAAATGTTGGGGACTGCTATTATATAGATTGCAGTATACTTTTTTTTTTAAAGTTTATTTGATAATTTTTGTTTTGCTTTTCTTCTTGGATGCATTTAGACCTAATTTCTCTCTTGAATTACAAATATTTTTCAAGAATTGTTAGATAAATTAATATCTTTATTTATTTTAAAATATATATATTTTATTGCCCTTTAGGTTCTGGGGTACATGTGAAGAACATGCAGGATTGTTGTATAGGTACATACATGGCAATGTGGTTTGCTGCCTCCATCCCCATCACCTGTATCTGGCATTTCTACCCATGTTATCCCTTCCCAACTCCCTACCCCTTGCTGTCCCTTCCCTAGTCCCCCACAACAAATCCCAGTGTGTGATGCTCCCCTCCCTGTGTCCATGTGTTCTCATTGTTCAACACCGCCTATGAGTGAGGACATGCGGTGTTTGGTTTTCTGTTCTTGTGTCAGTTTGCTGAGAATGATGGTTTCCAGATTCATCCATGTCCCTGCAAAGGACACAAACTCTTCATTTTTTGTGGCTGCACAGTATTCCATGGTGTATATGTGCCACATTTTCCCTGTCCAGTCTATCACTGATGGGCATTTGGGTTGGTTCCAGGTCTTTGCTATTGTAAACAGTACCGAAATGAACATATATATGCATGTGCCTTTATAATAGAACAATTTATAATCCTTTGGATAGATACACAGTAATGGGATCGCTGGATCAAATGGAATTGCTATTTCTAGGTCCTTGAGGAATCGCCACACTGTCTTCCACAATGGTTGAACTAATTTACACTCCCACCAACAGTGTAAAAGTGTTCCTATTTCTCCACATCCTCTCCAGCATCTGTTGTCTCCAGATTTTTTAATGATTGCCATTCTAACTGGTGTGAGATGGTAACTCAATGTGGTTTTGATTTGCATTTCTTTAATAACCAGTGATAATCAACATTTTTTCATATGTTTGTTGGCCTATATATGTCTTCTTTTGAAAAGTTTCTATTCATATCCTTTGCCCACTTTTGAATGGGTTTGTTTTTTTTTTTTTTCTTGTATATCTGTTTTAGTTCTTTGTAGATTCTGGATATTAGCCCTTCGTCAGATGGGTAGATTGCAAAAATTTTTTCCCATTCTGTTGGTTGCCAGTTCACTCTAATGATTGTTTCTTTTGCCGTGCAGAAGCTCTGGAGTTTAACTAGATCCCATTTGTCTATTTTGGCTTTTGTTGCCAATGCTTTTGGTGTTTTAGTCATGAAGTCCTTGCCTATGCCTATATCCTGAATGGTTTTGCCTAGGTTTTCTTCTAGGGTTTTTATGGTGTTAGGTCTTATGTTTAAGTGTTTAATCCATCTGGAGTTAATTATTAGTGTAAGGTGTCAGGAAGGGGTCCAGTTTCTGTTTTATGCACATGGCTAGCCCGTTATCCCAACACCATTTATTAAACAGGGAATCCTTTCCCCATTGCTTGTTTTTGTCATGTTTGCAAAGATCATATGGTTGTAGATGTGTGGCATTGCCTCCAAGGCCTCTGTTCTGTTCCATTGGTCTATATCTCTGTTTTGGTACCAGTATCATGCTGTTTTGATTACTGTAGCCTTGTAGTATAGTTTGAAGTTAGGTAGTGTCATGCCTCCAGTGTTGTTCTTTTTGCTTAGAATTGACTTGGCTATGCAGGCTGTCTTTTGGTTCTGTATGAAGTTTAAGGTGTTTTTTTCCAGTTCTGTGAAGAGGGTCATAGGTAGCTTGAAGGGGATAGCATTGAATCTATAAATTACTTTGAGCAGTATGGCCATTTTCACAATATTGATTCTGCCTAACCATGAACATGGAATGTTTCTCCATCTGTTTGTGTCCTCTCTTATTTCGTTGAGCAGTGGTTTGTAGTTTTCCTTGAAGAGGTCCCTTACGTTCCTTGTGAGTTGTATTCGTAGGTATTTTATTCTTTTTGTAGCAATTGTGAATGGCAGTTTGTTCTTGATTTAGCTCTCTTTAAGTCTGTTATTGGTGTGTAGGAATGCTTGTGACTTTTGCACATTGAGTTTGTATCCGGAGACTTTGGTGAAGTTGCTTATCAGTTTCAGGAGATTTTGGGCTGAGATGATGGGGTCTTGTAAATATACAATCATGTTATCTGCAAATAGAGACAATTTGACTTCCTCCTTTCCTAATTGAATATCCTTTATTTCTTTTTCTTGCCTGATTGCTCTGGCTAGAACTTCCAGAACTATATTGAATAGGAGTAGTGAGAGAGGGCATCCTTGTCTAGTGCCAGATTTCAAAGGGAATGCTTCCAGTTTTGACTCATTCAGTATGATATTGGCTGTGGTTAGTCATAAATAGGTTTTATGTTTTTGAGATACGTTCCATCAATACTGAATTTATTGAGAGTTTTTAGCATAAAGGCGGTTGAATTTTGTCGAATGCCTTCTCTGCATCTATTGAGATAATCATGGTTTTTCTCTTTGGTTCTGTTTAGGTGGTGGATTACGTTTGTAGACTTGCGTATGTTAAACCAGCCTTGCATCCCCGGGATGAATCCTACTTGATCGTGGTGGATAAGCTTTTTGATGTGCTGTTGAAATTGGTTTGCCAGTATTTTATTGAAGATTTTTGCATCTATGTTAATCATGGATATTGGCCTGAGGTTTTCTTGTTGAGTCTTTGCTGGGTTTTGGTATCAGGATGATGTTGGTCTCATAAAATGATTTGGGAAGGATTCCCTCTTTTTGGATTGTTTGGAATAGTTTCAGAAGGAATGGTACAGCTCTTCTTTGTATGTCTGGTAGAATTAGGTTGTGAACGCATCTGGACCTGGGCTCCTTTTGGTTGGTAGGCTATTCAACTTCAGACCTTGTTTATGGTCTATTCAGGGTTTCAACTTCTTCCTGGTTTAGGTTTGGGAGGGTGTAAGTGTCCAGGAATTTATTCATTTCTTCCAGGTTTACTTGTTTATGTGCATAGAGTTGTTTGTAGTAATCTCTGATAGTGGTTTGTATTTCTGTGGAATCTGTGGTGATATCCCCTTTATCGTTTTTATTGCATCTATTTGATTCTTCTCTCTCTCTTTTTTTTTTATTAATCTGGCTAGTGGTCTATTTTGTTGATCTTTTCAAAAAACCAGCTCCTGGATTTATTACTTTTTTAAGGGTTTTTTTATGTGTCTATCTCCTTCAATTCTGCTCTGATCTTAGCTATTTCTTGTCTTCTGCTCGCTTTTGAGTTTTTTTGGTCTTATTCCTCTAGCTCTTTCAATTTTGATGATAGGGTGTGGATTTTAGATCTTTCCTTGTTTCTCATGTGGACATTTAATGCTATAAATTTTCCTATAGACACTGCTTCAAATGTGTCCCAGAGATTCTGGTACATTATATCTTCATTCTCGTTGGTTTCGAAGAACATTTTTATTTCTGCCTTCGTTTCATTGTTTATCCAGTCAACATTCAAGAGCCAGTTGTTCATTTTCCCTGAAGTTGTGTGGTTCTGAGTTAGTTTCTTAATTCTGAGTTCTAATTTGATTTCACTGTAGTCTGAAAGACTGTTTGTTATGATTTCTTTTGCATTTGCTGAGGAGTGATTTACTTCCAATTATGTGGTCAATTTTAGAGCAGGTGTGATGTGGTGCTGAGAAGAATGTATATTCTGTGGATTTGGGGTGGAGAGTTCTTTCAATGTCTATTAGCAGTGTACTTTTAATTTATTATCAGATCACGTTAACCCAATTAAAATAAAGAAATCTCTTGCTTTCGTGTAACATTTTTGCTGGATTTAATAATAGACTTCCAAGGTAATGTGATTGGGTGGTTCAGACTATGCTATCCTAAAATACGACACCTTGACATAGTAAAGAGAACAGTGGAAGCAGGAAGGTTGCTATACTTTCTTTCCTCCCTACCATTCTCCCCTGGATGAGGCCGTGACAGGTTCATTGCCCGATGTGCATGGCTAGTCAATACACTGACACTGGGAGGCAGCAAGGAAAGAAGTTTAGTGGTGGGGTTACCAAATGGGATTGGAGGGCACCTCAGATCTGTCTCCTCTAGGAATTTGAGGATAGGGTTTTTAAGGGTTGTGGCATGGGCTGAAGTGTGGGTAGTGTTGATTGGTGAAGTCTTGGCACAGAGAGGTGGAGAAGCTGTATTCTTGTTCTGATACTGTTTCGCTGTGGGAGTCTTCAAACTGGTTGCTGGAATTTGGTCTGAAAAACATCTTAAGTGAGCCTTAACAAAAGCTTTATGATTCTGATGACTGTCTATAGGAACAAGGGGAATGCAAATCAATTCTTAAAGAATCTTATGACCCTAATGTCAGAAATCCTATAGATGGGAACAGTGGGGTTGCAAATGGATCATAGCTAGTGCTAAGTGACTTTTAGCCTCAAGGAAGTGGGCCAAAGTACAGCCTGATTTTCCTTTTTTTTTCTTTTTTTGAGGTCTCCCTCTATTGTCCAGGCTGGAGTATAGTGACATAATCAAAGCTCACTGTAACCTTGAACTCTTGGGCTCAAGTGATCCTCCTACTTCAGCATCGCCAGCAGGTGGGACTACTTGTGTGTGCCACTATACTCACCTAATTTTTAATTTTCTTTTTGGGGCTGGATGCAGTGGCTCACATCTGTAATCCCAGCACTTTGGGATTACAAAGTGGGTGGATTCACTTGGTGGGTGGATTCACTTGAGATCAGGAGTTTGAGACCAGTATGGCCAACATGGTGAAACCCTGTCTCTACCAAAAATACAAAAATTAACTGGGTGTGATAATGGGTGTCTATAATCCCAGTTACTCGGGAGGCCAAGACAGGAGAATTGCTTGAACCTGGGAGGTGAAGGTTGCAGTGAGCTGAGATTGCGCCACTGCACTGTAGCCTGGGTGACAGAGTGAGACTCCGTCTCAAAAAAAAATTTTTTTTTAAAATTTTTGTAGCGACAGGTCTTGCTATGTTGCCAGGGCTGGTCTTCAACTCCTAGGCTCAAGCAATCCTCTTGCCTTGGCTTCCCAAAATGCTGGAATTATAGGTGTGAGATACCACACCTGGCCCAGCCTGATTAATGCTTAATCTGACATGCAATTCTTATAAGTCTTCTGGCACTGGTGGCAATAAAACTGTCAAAGGTGTCTGAACAACAGCAACTCCATCTTAAGTATGAGCTGGGTAAAATGAGGCTGAGACCCTACTGAGCTGCATTCCCAGATGGTTAAGGCATTTGAAGTCACAGGATGAGATAGGTTCACACAAGATACAGGTCATAAAGACCTTGCTGATAAAACAGGATGCAGTAACGAAGCTGGCTCAATCCCACCAAAACTAAGATGGTGACAAGAATGACCTCTAGTAGTCCGCACTGCTGCACTCCCACCGGCACCTTCACTGTTTACAAATGCCATAGCAATGCCAGGAGGTTACCCTATATGGTCTAAAAAGGGGAGGCATGAATCATCCACCCTTTGTTTATTATATAATCAAGAAATAACCATAAAAATGGACAGCCAGGAGCCCTTAGGGTGACTCAGCCTATAAGGTAGCCATTTTCTTATTCCTTTACTTTCTTAATAAACTTGCTTTCACATTACTCTATGAACTTGCCTCGAATTCTTTCCTGCATGAGATCCAAGAACCCTCACATGAGGGTCCAACCCTTTTTGGAGTCTGGTCCAGATCCAGACTCCAAAATAGGAGTTTCTGGTAATAAAACGTAATTTTAAGTAGGATTTTCTGACCTTCCTCTGATGCAGGTCTTAAGACCCTCATGTGAGAGGTGGCCTCTTTATACCTGGAAGAGAGAGGTATTTTTATCTCTGAGGGTAAAGGGTCACAGGGAGGACACTGAATAGACAGGCCTTGCTAAGTTCCCCCAATTTATTATGATTAGATCACATTCTTTGCCCCATATTTCTCCATGACTGTCCACTGATCATCAAACCTAACAAAAAAATACATAGATGTGAATGTTTCTTTGGGCTTCTGTTTCCTTATGAAGGCTCCTGTGTCACATAAAACCTGTATCAAATAAATATGTATGCTTTTCTCCTGTTAACCTTTCATTATAGGGGCCTCAGCCACGAACCTAGAATGGGTGAGCAAATAAATATGTATGCTTTTCTCCTGTTAACCTTTTGTTATAGGGGCCTAAGCCACGAACGTAGAATGGGTGAGCAAATAAATATGTATGCTTTTCTCCTGTTAACCTTTTGTTATAGGGGCCTCAGCCACGAACCTAGAATGGGTGAGCAAATAAATATGTATGCTTTTCTCCTGTTAACCTTTCGTTATGGGGCCTCAGCCACAAACCTAGAATGGGTGAGCAAATAAATATGTATGCTTTTCTCCTGTTAACCTTTCGTTATGGGGCCTCAGCCACGAACCTAGAATGGGTGAGCAAATAAATATGTATGCTTTTCTCTTGTTAACCTTTCGTTATAGGGGCCTCAGCCACGAACCTAGAATGGGTGAGGTAAAGTTGTTTTTCCTCCCTTACGAAGGATAGTTGCTACTAGTTTTGAAAAGTATGGATAACTTTGTGCTTATGGATAGCTTTTTTCTCTTAACTCAAATTATGCCTTACCTTTAAAAAGTACCTTGTAAAAAAACAAGAGGCCATTCTGACATGTTTTACTTGCCTATGGTTAAGAAGCAAAATATTTCACAATTTGAAACAAATACCTGAGTAGCAGAATCAATCATTCCATTTCATGTGTTTGAAACAATTTTTTAATATCCTTGAGGTATAGGAGCTAAGGGAAAGCTTTCACTCCCTCCTCTGAAGGTTCACTGAAAAATCAACTTGCAAAAGGAGATTAATAAGAGGAAAGGCATCCAAACATATCAACATGCACACAGGGGAGAACCACAGAGTGACCAACTCCAACCTTCCAGTGGGGCACTGAAGCTTGTGTACCATCTTGAGGTTACGGAAAGATTGGGGGCTGGGACTGTGGCAAAACAGGTAATGGGACAGAAGAAGAGGAGGCCTGGCTAGCAAAGCTGGTCTTGTCGGATAGATGAAACCTCACAGGCAGTAACCCTCAGAGAGAATAGATGCTAGATGTTCCTTTCAGATCTTTAAATGTGTCAATCTCAGTTAATCTTTTCTAGATCCAGGTCCAGGCGAGGCCTGAGAGAAAACCTGGTGTATCAAGGCAGGCTTTCTTTACAGATGTAAATGTCCCCAACAAGAGACACTTTGTGGAGGGCTACGTCTGTTTGCAGGCCCTCTGAATAGCTATCTCAGAATATGCCAAAATAGTATATTGTGGGGTAAAATATCTTGGTTTCTTTCAGCAGTGTCTGTGAAAAAGCATGGAAAAATTGTGGGATGGTCAATTAGCGAAAATTAGCCGTACCAGGGGTCGAAGGAGGAATGGCTAGTTACTGCTAATGGGTACAGGATTTCTTTTTTTTTTTTTCTTTTCTTTTCTTTTTTTTGAGATGGAGTCTGGCTCTGTCGCCCAAACCTCTGCCTCCCGGGTTCAAGAGATTTTCTTGCCTCAGCCTCCTTAGTAGCTGGGATTACAGGCGTGTACCAGTACACCTAATTTTTATATTTTTAGTGGAGACCGGTTTTGCCATTATGGTCTTGATCTCTTGACCTTGTGATCTGCCCGCCTTGGCCTTCCAAAGTGCTGGGATTACAGGTGTGAGCCACTGTGCCCAGCCCAGGATTTCTTTTCGGGAAGATGAAAATGTTCTAAAATTGTATCTGGTGGTGGTTGCACAGCTCTGAAAGCAACACTAAAAGTTGTTGAGTTGTATAAAGAGGTGACTGTACAGTATGTAAATTATATCTCAATAAAGCTGTTGAAGCATTAGCCACAGGGTAAAACCTGATTCTAGAGAGGCGACAGTACCGTCTACAGCATCATACATTGCTTGTGGCCATGTAAGAGGATGTATATTACAATACCCAACAGCAGGTTGGGTATTGTAAACAAAAAGTAGCATTTGGAGGTTCCCCAGCCATCTGAATGGACTTAGTACTCTGGGCCGGGACCCTCTAAATGTAACCTGAAAGACTGTTTGAGACCATGATGGGAAGTGGGGGTTGGACAGGATTCATTATACCCCTTCAGCATTGACATCAACACAGATCTTAACGACGGTTAAGAAACATGAGCAGTCTGCTCTCTCTGAAGGCTCCTACCTGGAGCTTCATCTGCATGATCAAACTCTGGTTTCCACAACCTCTTATTGAAACCTACACATTCCTTTTCATTGATAATAACTCTTTCTACTAATCGCCAGTGTATATCCCAGATGTATCTGAGTGATGTCTTCTGTCTCCCTAAAATGTATAAAACCAAACCAAGCTGCAGTTGGACCACCTTGGGCACATGTCCGCAGGATCTCCTTAGTGCTGCTGTGTCATGGGTCATGGTCACTCATATTTGGCTCAGAATACATCTTTTCAAATATTTTACAGTGTTTGACTCTTTTGTCAACACTATTAAGATCTTTGGAAATGTTCTAAAATGCAATAATGTGACTTACGGGAAAGTATATTTAGAAATGATCCAAAATATAAAAAAGTCATATTAAGTTGCCATATATTTATTTCCTCCCTCTTCCTGCCCTCTCTTCCATCCTTGTGTGTGTGTGTGTGTATGTTTATTTGTAATATATATAAATTAGAAGTGATCTAATTTCAATCTAATTTATATCTAATATAGTGATCTAAATTAGAAGTGATCTTCCTATTTCTGACCTAGAATGATATATCACTCTAATGAGAGTTAGAGGAGAATGACTAAGTATGTTTTGATGCATTGATTCAGAAGGTTATTATGAAGATGTTACTGGAAAGCAGTCCTGATCCAGACCCTAAGAGATGGTTCTTGGATCTCACACAAAAAAGAATTCAGGGTGAGTCCATAAAGTGAAAGCAAGTTTATTAAGAAAATAAAGGAATAAGAGAATAGCTATTCCATAGGCAGAGCAGCCTTGAGGGATGCTTGTTGGCTATTTTGTGGTTATTTCTTTTCTTTTTGAGACGGAGTTTTTGCTCTTGTTACCCAGGCTGGAGTGCAATGGCGCGATCTTGGCTCACCGCAACCTCTGCCTCCTGGGTTCAAGCAATTCTCTTGCCTCAGCCTCCCAAGTAGCTGGGACTACCGGTGCATGCCACCATGCCCAGCTAATTTTTGTATTTTTAGTAGAGACGGTGTTTCACCTTGTTGACCAGGATGGTCTCGATCTCTTGACCTCGTGATCCACCCGCCTCGGCCTCCCAAAGTGCTGGGATTACAGGCGTGAGCCACCACGCCCAGCCGGTTGTTTCTTGATTATTTGTTACACAAGGGGTGGATTGTTTATGAATTTTCCAGGAAATGGGTGGCAGTTCCTGGAACTGAAGGTTCCTCCCTTTTTAGACCATATAGGGTAACCTTCTGATGTTGTGATGGCGTTTGTAAACTGTCAGGAACTGGTGGGAATGTCTTTTAGCTGATGCATTATAATTAGCACAGGAGCAGTGAGGATGACCGGAAGGCACTTTCGTCACTCCCTTGGTTTTAGTGGGTTTTGGCCAGCTTCTTTATCACATG